CGGGGGTGGGGCGCGGGCGGGGCGCGAGCCTGGAGGGGCTGCTCAGAAAGGGCGGGGCATGGGGCGGAAGGGGGCGGGGAGTAGAGCATAGGGGCGGGGCAGGGGGCGGAAGGGGCGGGCACAAACCCGTATTGCGGCGCAGGCCTTGGGGAAGAAGCACTGGGCGGAAGGGGCGGGACAAGGCTGTAGGGGAGGGACTAAGGGGCGGGACGAAGGCTGGGAGGAGCGGACCCCGGGCATGAGGGGCGGGGCTACAGGCTGTCGGGGCGGGGCGGGACGAGGGGGCGGAGCGAAGGCCTGGGTCCCCCTCTCCACCCGCTGCGGGGAATTCCAGGACTCCGCCGCGCGCCCACCAATGGAGGGGCGCCCCGCGGCGCCGCGGGAATCCGCCTTTGCCCGTGTGGATTGAGCGTTCCGGGCCCGCAGGGCTGGGAGGACGGCGCGGGAGGAGGACGCGCGGGGCCGTCGCTCGGGCTCATTTTCGGATACCGGGTCAGCGCGACCCGGAGAGGGCGCGTGTGGCTCCGCAGCGCGGCGCGTCCCCGTCCCCGTCCCCGTCCCCGTCCCCGAGGGCGGCAAAGGGCCCCTCGTGTTCGCCGCCACCCTCTGCAGACTGGGTGCGGGAGGACCCCACGCCGCGGCGCGCCCGCCCCCGAGCTTGGGAACCTCGCGAGCCGCCCGGCTGATTTCCGAAAGTCACCAGCAGATGGTATGGGACGGCCACGGTAGAGCGCGCGCGCGTGTGTGTGTGTGTGGTGTGTGTGTGTGTGTGTGTGTGTGTGTGTGTGTGTGCGCGCGCGCGCCCCCCACCGCGTGCACGGCTCAGGAGGTATTTTCCAGTTCTGGAGTAGGCACAGATGTCCTAAAAACTGATAAACGGACTTCGAAATTTAACACTTGTGCTCATCAAACAAGTATGAAGAAAATAGACGGTAAGGGAAAGACACAGTCACACCGTAAATACTGACAACGGGCTTTGTACCCCGCAACTCAGTAATAAAAGGACAAACAACCTGACCCCAAAGATAGACAAAAGAAATTCGTATGTATTTCCCGAAAGAAGATAAACACCAGTAGACATATGAGCAAATGCTCATCCAATATCGTTTGTCATGAGAAAAAGCACGTTAAAACCTTAGCTCTTCTTGCTATCCAAAAAGATTGGGGCTGGGTTTTGTTGTTTGTTTATTGTTTTTTTGTCTTTTTGAGATTGTCTCGCTAGGCAGTTCGGGCTAGTCTTGAACTCACTTTGTAGCTGGAGCTGGCCTTTAACTCACAACGATCCTCCCGCCTCAGCCTCCCCAGTGCTGAGACTACAGGCATGTGCCACCAAGTCTGGCTTGGGTGTTTTTTGAATAATAGAAATTTATTATTATTCATGGGAAGTCCGAAGTCTAAAGTCAAGGGGCTCACGGATTCCGGGTCTGGCTAGGGCCTGTTCTTAAAGATGGCACCACACAGGGGCCTTGGGTGGCCCAAGGGAACATAAAGGTGTAAAAGGTGACCGCTGTCTCCTCATGAAATGGCCGCGGCCACCGGAACCAGGGCCTCCTGTGGCTGCTGTGTGAGGCCAGGAGTCCTGTTAAGGGGCCACCCATGAGTAGATGGATGGGCCTGTGACTAGGTGTACACTTCCATCAGTAAAGAGAAACAGACTAATTCACGGGTGATGGCCACAGAGTGTGACAGAGTGTGAAAAGGACCTGCTGTGAGACTCCTGGACCACCTGCCAGGTGCCTAGTGCCCTGGCTATGGTCAGAGGCCTGGCCTTGGCTGGTCCAGAAATGTACTTATCACCAGCACCACTGTCACTAGCCCACAAAGTACCAAAAGTAGCCCGGGAAGGCTGGGTATGGTGGTGCACCCCTGTAATCCCAGCACTCAGGAGGCTGAGGCAGGAGGATTGCTGCAGGTTTGAGGCCAACCTGGGCTACAAAGTGAGCTCAAATCCTGCCTGAACTGCATAGTGAAACCCTGTCTCAAAAACACACACAGGGCTGGGGATTTAGCTCAGCAGCACAGTGCCTGCCTGGCAAGCCAAGGTCATGAGTTCGATTCCTGGTACTGGAAAAAAAAACAAAAACAAACAATCAAAAACACACACACACATAAAAAAAGTAGCCTAGGAGAAAGGGAAGATCTGAGCGGGTCAGTTTGAACAGAGTATGGCTGTCAAAGAGCTGCTCCCGAAAAAGCCCCAGGCCCTGGCTGTTCAACAGGAGAAACCTCCAAGTCTGAGGAACACACCTCTGGCTCTTCTAGAACATTAAAATAAAAAGTTTTCCAGATTCTCTCCATGCTACAATAAAAAGAGTTGATAATAAAACGTTCTTTAAAAAGAGGAAAAAATCCTTGCAAACGTTTCATTTATGAATATTGATATAAAAATCCTAAAAACTTTCACTAGCTAGCAATTTCACCATGAGACCAAGTGAATAATAATATGCCACAATCAGGTAGAAGGCATTCTAAAATGGTTTAATGTTTGGAAATTACATTGTTTACTATTTGAAAGTCTACTAATCTCACTGTAAATAAAGGAATTTATTAATAGGATAAGAGTAATTTTTCTATTACATCCATAGATGCTATAAGGCACCCATACACGATTTTCTAAAGCAAGTGTCAAAAAAATAAAAATAAGATAAAAATCGAAGTTGAACCACAGCTAATCACAAAATTACCTTATAAAACAGCAACTGCACTCCTAGGTATCTGCCCAGGAGAAATAAAAATATGTCCTCACAAAAACTTGCCCATTGAGCCAGGCGTAGTGGCACATGCTTGTAATTCCAGCACTTGGGAGGCTGAGGCAGGAGGATTATTGCAAGTTCGACACCAGCCTGGGCTATGAAGTGACTTCAAGGCCAGCCTGAACTGCATAGTGAGACTCTGTCTCAAAAAGACAAAAAAAAAAAAAAAAAAAAACAAACTTTCCCGCGAGTGGAGGGCCTTTGCCCAGATGGATTGAGTGCAGTATGAAAACAGTTGGTCTTCACACATTGCCTGGTGCCATTTATACGAAAATCCCTGAACAGGCAGTTCTGGAGAGAGAAGAGTAGATGAGTGGTGGCCAAGGCCAGGCGATGCCTCAGGGCGTTTTCATGGTAATGGATTTCCAAAATGATGAGAATGTCCTAAAATGGGATTATGATGATAGTTGTAAAACCATGAATATACTTTGAAAAGTTGAAACACACCCTATAAATGAATGACTATTATGGTATGTAAATTATCTCTCAATAAAGTTGTTCTTGAAAATAAATGGTTTATGCTGGGCATGGTGGTGCACACTTGTGGTCCCAGTACACAGGAGGCTGAAGCAGGAAGATTGCCATGAATTTGAGGCCAACCGGGGTCACACAGTTCAAGATCAGCCTGGACTACATAGAAAGACCCCATCTTAAAAAAAAAAAAAGATATATATATATAGATATATATATATATATATATATATATATATATATAGAGAGAGAGAGAGAGAGAGAGAGAGAGGGAGAGAGAGGGGGGCAGAGATTTACAGCCTCCAATAAAGGGAAGGCATAGATTATTAAACAGGTGAAAGAGCAAGACTTATCTGTGTGCTTTCTAGGAGGGACTCACCTGCCCAGCACAATGGGTCCTGGGTTCCATCCCTAGCACTAAAAAAGAAAAAGATAAAATACTAAATTATAAGCTTAGTAGGAAAAGGGAAAGACCTATCAGGGGCTTGGAAATGCTAGGGTGAAAGGGAAAAACTGTCCAAGAGAAACTGTTCTTTTTAACACTCTTCTTTTGAACTGCTTAGCTCTGTAACTGCTTCATGGTTTTGTAATACTTTCCTGACCTCTGTAACCAGGAGAGTGTAACCGAACATACAACATCATTGTACCATTGTACCAAGCTCCATGAACTGATGATCATTAATCTGCCATTGTAACCAAGGGTCTCACCCTGCTAGCTAATCAGAAGAACTGCCAGGCTGTTCTGTCTCGCCTTTGTACCTCCTGCTTGTGCATCATATAAAAGCCCACGACCACCATAGATCAGGGCCTGATATTCTGGGAATGACCCCAATCATTGCCCATGGATGTAAATAAATCTGCTCCAAATCCTGGGTGTCGTTTTGGTGTTTCCACTTGCCGTAGCAAGGGAAAGACATACACGACAAAACATAGAGGAAGGACAGTTCAATACAGTAACTGTGTTGATTCATTCTAAAGTTCCCATTAAAATGTAAAAACAGTGTCTTGGGAAATTTCCTAAGTCCTTCTACAACTCATCAGGAAAAATAAACATTGGTGAAAAGCAGAAAAAATTCTGAAAGAGAAGAGAGGGGCCCAGGAGAGCTGGGGTGTAAGGTGCCCCTGGCCCTGAAAAATTCAATGTGTCTCTGATACCAAGGCAGCTGTGGGGGTATCCCACCAAGGGATGTCCACACAAACCAAAGGCCAGTTCTGCGTGTGCAGAGAGAGCACCAGCTCTTATAGCCACTGTGAGAAATGGGAGGAGGGGAGCGCCTAGAAAAAGTGTGAGAACAGCCAAAACTCGCTATTCTTTTTGAAAAAAAGGGGAAAGAAGGAAGAGAAAAGGAGAAAGACATCAAATTCACTCCTCACAGCAAGTACTTTCCCAGTAGATTTAATTTTATACTCTTGCAGTGAAAGAAGACTTTCTAAGCAAAACCCAAACCCAGACCAATAAAGAAAAAGGGCATGTGATGAAATAAAACATAAATTACGAAATGTAAGCACTTTTACTTTTGTAACGTGATATATAATATCGTACATGGAATGTGATAACTAAATTCCTAACTTAAAACATTTCATACAAGTCAATAGGAAAGACAGAAATTGGGAAAATGGTCGAGTGTCTGTTACCCAAAGAATGCATTAATGTTCAAAAAAATGTTTACAGCCAAGATACAAAAATTTTGCAAACAATTTTTGCATTAAAAATCTTGCAAAGTGGAAAGCGATGTCCCTTTCTGGCCTGTTAAGACAAAAATGTTTCGGTGCCATGGAAGTTGTAGGAATGGGATGGGGAGGCTTGGTAGCTGCTGTGAATTCCCGCAGGACAGCTTAGCAATGTCTGCTTGATCATCCCACCTCCACGTCCCACAGCCAAGGGACCTGGGGGACGTGGGGAGGCACAGGTAGAGCTGGGGGTGGAGGGTGAGCGAGAGCAGGTGCCGGGAAGAGGGCAGAGCTGTCTGAGGGGAGCGGAAGCCCAGGACCCCAGCGTCCCCCAGTGCCCACTGCCTCTCACCATCCACCCGTACCACGGTTATCTTCCTAAATCGGGCACATCTGCAACGACCCACTCTGCACACCTCCTGGAGCTCCCTTCGGCTGACGCTCTTCCCCCAGAAAGGCTCTGTTCCTGGCGTCTCTGGGGTCCTGAGGCCTGGGCGGGGACGGCACTATCAGGCTGGAGTCACCTGAGATTCAATCCAAGGCCAGGGTGTGAAGTCACCGAGTGACAGAAGTTGGCCGAAAGCCCACAGTGGCCTGGTTTGTTTGCAAGCTGTTCGTTTCCCGCAGCCCTCCGGGTCCCGGCCGAGGGTGATAAAAACATCTCCTGGTTCCTGTGCCTTGGCGCCCGGCTCCCCACTTGCCGGTCTCTGTGGCCGAAGCTTCTGTCCCAAGGACAGCACTGGCCCCTGAGCTGAGCCTCTGTGTGCTCCTAGCTCCTGGCCGAGGATCCCACCGGCTCTTGTGAGCTCATCAT